AGTGAGCTGCAAGATCACCATCACTGTCATAGAGTTCTGTTCAACAGGCTTAATGTATTTGCTGCACATATTATGTGCAGTATATGGTATTAACATATAATAAACATAAAAGGATAGGATATAGTAGTTACATTTGTAAAGCTTGGGTAAAAATATTGGTATTATGAGATCAGAGCAGACAGGCCTACTTTACATTAAAGCTACTCCATCCTGCTGTTATTTGAAAATCCATGTTTGATTATTCCTCTGCCAAGGGGGAGGAATTGAGAGGAAAAAAAAAACAAAAAACTACAAAGCTGCATTCCCTGAGATCTGCTAGCGTGGTGGGTTATGGGCAAAAATGAGCCTCTATAAAATCGGGTGCAGCTTTGGATCACTGTCTTCAAAAATTCCAAAATAGGCTATTGGCCTTTGCAGAAGATGTGCTCTCCACATAGGCTTCTAGTTAATTTTATACATTTTCTTCACTAATTTGTTGTGACCACTCTCCATCCCCCACACAAGCTGCTTCACAACACAACTCTCCACATATCCTCACTCGGTATTCTCCCGAGAGGTCAAGCAGCAAGACTGGTTTCAACAGTTAAGCATGTATATAATGAATAAATGGTTGCTGGTTGGAGCCAAGGTAGCATTAATTCCTTTCAAGCTGATTTTGCTCAAATACATGAATTATGAACCAAAAGGCCCTCTGTGGCAAACCACAAGTTGTGTGCTGCAAAGCTAAAGATAGCACCAACAGCAGGTCAAGCTAACCTCCCCTGCACTGAGCCTACAGTGTTGTAAAACCACAGTAGGTTCAATGAAGAGGTGGTTCAGAGAGCTTATTTAATGTAATGTAAGACTGAACGCATGCCCATACAGTATGAAAGAAGTGAGGCAAGTGATGCATATATTAATAATGTATGGCACAGTTGGGGTGCTGGCAATGACAAAATAGCTATTTAAATGGGTGAGACAATGTGCTAGCTTGCATGCTGGGATATGAATGTATGAAGTTGAGAGGTAGCAAAGCATTGCAAAATGTTTGTTTGGTAACTTTTTCTAAAGGTTCACTCATTCTCAACTCTACCATACATCTCTCATGTTTTCATGATTTAGTTGAATGGAAGGATTTGTTTGTTGTTGTTTTTTTTTCAGGACTGTGTGCCGTAAAGTAAAAATGACTTTCTGTTATGGAAAATAATCTTCAGGCCTACTTTTGAGTCTAGACATATTGTTCGTATAGGAGTTTAAGGTGACTTTAGAGGAGTGTTACGTCTTTGAAGACACAATTTATTAGCATTCATAGGTACAACCCCGCCTTCTCCCAGCTCTTGGATCAAAACGATGCCAACAGCAGGGCAGAGGGACGTGTGTGGCATTCTTTTTGACTTCACATCTATGAGAGACCTCATTTGCAGCTCAGGTGTCATGTGCAAATTCTTTCAAAGAGGTAAAGTCATGGAATACTCAGCTTATCTGCAACGCTTTGATGACAAGCCTCTTTGCAAGAGATTGGGTGTGATTTGAAAGATCAATACATCAGGAATAAGGAGAATGCACGTAGATGTGCATATGCTTGACCTTGTTTTGTAAAAGACAAAACAAGGTCAATAGAAACTTCCAGGACTTCCTCTCTCCTCAAATGTTGGCTTGTACAACAGATTTGTGATGTGGATGCACATCTGTGGTTGACAGTGAAAACTCTTTATTCAAGTAATTTCTTGAATATTATTTAGTATTTCTTATTTCTTATTATAGTATTATCCATCCATTTTGATCATTTGGCATAAATGACCATGCATAATGACTGATGAAAGTAATTTTGAATCAGATGTTCTCAGGATGAGCTCTTGCCTTTCCTAATGCATCTGATATTTATTTGCTTGCATGCAGCTTGTTTTATATGAAGGAAGGGACCACCACAGCAGAGGTATTGTACCACTCTAGCAATTTTTAGGTGCTGAGAAATAAAAAGGAAAAGTAAGGAAAAGAATATTATTTTTTCAGTGTGCCATGTTTCACTCTCTTACATCAACCATAATCCAGAGTGACAGCTGTTGATGACCTACGCCACATGTATGCCAACAGCAGCGCCTCAATTATACAGCATGAAATTGTAACTGTCTGAATTCCAGTTGAACTTTTACAACTCCATGCCTGTTTGCACTTGAACAATGTTAAGCCCACCACGAGCCAGTGTGGGCACTTGGGCTGCCGTAGGTGGGTTTACGCAGAGACGGAGAACACTGCTTGCAGGCTCTGGAATCTCATTAAGTATATTGTTTTGCCAGAATGAAAGCAGAGGTGTACTTGGCAACACCTAACCGCTTCAACCAAGGGAGTCAGGAAATCTCTGTGGCTTAGTAACATCTCTCATTGCAGAAAGAGCTTGTCAATGGGATTTTGGGAGGATATGCTGCTGCCTGTCACTGTGACAGAGGCAGAACTCACTTGACACAACAACATAACACTTTGCCTCTAAAGGAAAAGTTTGTTTTCTCTTTTTTTCACTGATTGTAGTTTTTATTAGGAATTGCAGCTTAACATTCCCATGAATTTGTTGTTTCCTAATGAACAATGCGTTTGTGGTCGTTGATTAGTTAGCTTGAAAGGTTAATTTGTCTCAAACATTAATTTCCAGCTAGTAGGAAAAAAGTGAGAAATTGACTTTTACCTGTGCTTAAGTGTATAAACTTCTTAATTGCTACAAGATACACATTACAGCAATTATTGTCGTGTGTGTTCTTGTGTTCTTAGTTGTATTGAATTCAGCAAACATTTCCACTGTGAGGCAGATTCCAGTCACTGGAATAAACAATGATTGCATAAAGGTGGAAATGATTACTTAGGCCTTTCTTACTTTGGACAAATCAAGATTGTATCCAGATTGATTTTAGAAAGGCCTATACACTAAAAAGCAACATGAAATCACATTTTGCACATTTGATCCAAACCACGTTTGGTGGTTAGGTGGTTTGAAATGTGATTACAATTGGATTTGTTCAGATGTGTCTCACTGTGGACACTTGAGATGCACAAATCGCATTTAAAATGAGTTTTTGCACCACTCACTCATAACAGTGGTGTCAAATCTACAATGACAGATGTGCTGAGAAAATCCATGCAGCTATGCACCAAACATTATGGAGAACATATTGATGGGTTTGTGTACAGGTTTGGTGATGTTTGGAAATACAAATCTCACCTGATTACTCTCAGTCTGTGTCTACAATCTGGAAAACTCTTCTGAAAGAGTTTCAGTATTCTTAAGTCAACATTCAGACACTGTGCATGGAGAAAGATTCCAAAATTGCAATGCCTATCAATGAGTTTTCTTAAAAAGCATATTGGCTTAACATGAGTTATCATTAAATAGATCATAGTTTATGACTGAATGGAACACAGATGATCTGAATTTATAGAGACCCAGATTATTTGGGATGGAGGCAGAAATTGGCTCACCGTTAGAGTGAGTGGGGACATGTATCATCCCTACAGCACTGAAAAAGTGATCATTTGAAAAACTTGATGCGAAAATGTGTCAGAAACAGTGTCCACAGTCTAGATGGACCATGACATAGAGGTGAAGAAATTTAATCAGTTGCGCTCTGTTTATCTGTGCCAAGGATGAGGACCCCACTTCAGTGTCCCCATTCTGAGCAGCGGGTGACGTCTTAGATCTTGAAATCCAACTTTATTTCATCTTTTCCCATATTGACAGTGTTTGTAGATATATTAAAGTATCTTTATTCATTTGAATTAAGCCAAAACGATTAATTTGCTATTTGTACATGTGTAATAGTTTTACATTGCAGCACAATGAGCCATTAGCTTGAGTGACACTGACAAAGTCATTAGAAGTACTTTCTCCTGCTAAGAATGATCAGAAAACTGCAGACTGTGTACTCTGCAGATTGTCTAGGGTATCTATTTCTGGTTTCTAATAAAAATACTTTCACTTCTGTTCATTTGGAGAAACATAAAAAAATGTGAACAGACTAAAAAGTATCAACATGGCTACACTGAGTTGAGAATATATTTGTTTTCCAGAATTTTATGTGAGCAAACCATTTAAAGAAGCTTCACATCTCTGGAGCTACTGGCAGCTTTTAATGGAGATACTGCAAAGAATGGCTATTTTCAGAGATCAAGCCATCTGCTTTTTTGTTATGCTCGACTACTGCGACACAGTGCTTATTATCCAGTATCGAAGTGACACTATTTAATTTGGTGTGTCTTGTCCGCTGCCATAAGACTGCGGCTCCTTCTGGTTCATCCAGTGAGATTTGGCAAAGACGGGTGCTTGACAGATGCACATCTTTAGAGGAGCCTTGTTTTTGCAGAGACACATTATTCTACAAGAACAGTAGAAATTGTAATGGGACTTCAAAATTGCTTTTTGTTCGTGCACCTCACCTGATGCAGCCTGAAGCCAGAACACACAGTTTTTGCCTAAATAAACACTCTGAAACCGGCTTGTGTCTACCTTTCTCTCCCTCACTTTCGGTGCTTTTATCTGCTCTCATTAAGATGAGAAGCTGCAGTGGGCTCTGGGAGGACATGTGCTATGACATGGTCACAGAATTTTAATGAGGAGATTTATTAAGAGGTGTATTATTCCACCATTCACATTTCCTCCCTTTATGAAGCTAAGAGATTTGGTCAGGGAGGACTCTTCCGAAACATCTTGGACCTGAGTCAGATTCTGTTTGACCTTTTTAGATACATCTTTATATGTTTCCCCTTAACTGTAAAGACTGAAAAAAAATCTACTTTGAGTGATGTAATCATCAAATCGGAAAGCAAAAGGTGTTTTTTTTTTTTCTTTTTTTCTGCCCCTCCTACACTCTAAAGTGCACTTTGAATATAACCGTGTGCTTTTGGAACCAGATACCAAAACTGTTGCTTAATTCAGCATTTTTATTATTTTACTGTTGTTGTTTTTAGTATGACCAGATGAACATAACTGCCTTTTTCTAACAGTGGGGTTTTTTGTTGTGCACCTTCTGTTTTAGGTCACCTAACAGACTCAACAGATGTGATTGAGAACCACATAGAAGAGTGGTTGTATGAATAAAGATGAATCAATATGAGTTTGGATACCTGACCTGACCACACAACAGATGCTTTTACTGTGAGTACAAATATAATGCACAAGAAAGTATAGTCATTCAAGCTATAGTGGTAGAGTCTAACTTGTTAGTTTACTTAAGTTCTGTACTTAAAGTAGGAAGAGAATATTTCCCCACCACAACCACACGTTGCCAACAAAAACTTAGTTGTGAACCCTGCCAACTCTCAGAGCTCTGCATCAAATTAATCCTTCTTTGAGGTTCACTTTTGCTTTGCATTCAGTTTCTATTAATCTCCCTCGTAGCCTCTTCCAACATTTTTATTTTTTTATTTTTTTGTATAGGCAGAATTTCTTCAGTTATTCATATTTTCCACCATTTCTTTGAAAATACTTAAAAACAGAATGTTAACTGAGCTTTGATTTTCCCAGGAGGTGCAAATTGATGATAGAGTTTCTGGGGTGCTTCAGTGTTTTAATTTCAACAAAAAATGGAGTTGTAAAAGTTCAACTGGAAAAGAAAGAAAAAAAAAAAACCCTTTCATTTTGTGCATCATTTTGTCATGTTAAACACTTTGACACTCCAATGTGCCAAAGCAATAATAATATCAAGACCCCTTTAGCTCATGTTACAGAAATGACTATGTGAGCAACTCCTAACAGTTTCACAGTTACATTGTGTATGTGTCCATGCACAAATGCAGGCTTAAAACACCAGACTTGCTTGTGGTTCTCTAATGATGGAATTTATGTAGAGGCTAAATTGGCACTAAATACCACATGATGACCTTCAATGACCTGTCAATTCAATTGTATTTATATCACACCAAGTCATAATAACAACCACCTCAAGCTGCTTTATATTGTAAGGTAAAGACCCTAGAATAATACAGAGAAAATGCCAACAATCACACGATCCCAGGACAAAAGGCATACTGTGGAAGAGAGCCAGACATGAATATTAGCTAATTATTACATGCAAAGCTTCCATTGCAAACTAGTTCATGTATTTATTAATTCTAGGTTGGACTATTGTAATTCATTATTATTAAGCTGTGCTATAAGCTCCTCGAAAAGCCTTCAGTTGATCCAGAACGCTGCAGGGACTAGAAAGAGCAAGTATATTTCTCCCATATTAGCTTCACTTCATTGTCTCCATGTTTAATTGAGATTACAATTTAAATCTTTCCTCACGTACAAGGTCCTAAAGAATCAGGCCCCACATCTTATCTTAAAACATCTTATCCTCACAGTATCTTAACAGACCATTTTGCTCTTAGACTGCAGTCTTACTTATGGTTGCTAAGGTATGCTTCTTCCTGCTCCTTTTTGGACATGAACGTTATTTGGAGTTGTGGTTGCTCGTTTTCCTTTTATTTTGCTTTGTTCATTTGTCTCTTTTAATTCTATTTTGTTGTACTTTTTCAACATGTTCAAAATAAAGATTCAATCAATCAATCAATAAGGTATCTAAACATAGAATGGGAGATAGAGCCCCTCTACTATGGAACCAGCTCCCAGTTTCACTCCTCGTGTGTTTAAGCACTACTGTATTTAATCATTAGTAATTATTAAACTCTGTCTGTCTATGCCACGGTCTGTATTTTGCCCCGTCTCTCTGTTCTCTTCTCTTTTCCCTCACTCAACCAATTAAGGCAGCTTGCTGCCCCTCTCTTTGCCTGCTTTCACCGATGGTTTTCTTCTTGTTAAAAGGGAATTGCGTGATTGTCTGGGTTTCTTTCTAATATTGTAAGGTCTTTAGCTTACAATATAAAGTGCCTTGAGGGAATTGTTGTTGTCAATTTGACCTATATCATTAAAGTGAATTTAACTGAACTCATAAAAGTAAAATCATATCTGCTGAAATCCATATTTGTTCATCTTTTCTGTCAATCACAGATTCACACATTCTTCTTTCTGGCTGTTGAAGCAATTTGAATAATTTTCTTTGAAAGTAAACATTCACTTTTTTTTTTTTTTTTAGCTCATCAGCTAGCTCGTCAATGACAGCTGTAATTCTTGGCTGTTTGACATGATGTCTCCTAGTTTATTTTTATTTTTTTCATTGCTAAAGATGTCTGGAGACTCTTTGAATTTCTTCTCACTCATTATGGATGGATGTATTTCCACCATGGCAGCACGGTTGTACACTAGCTGTCTGTTTGTCATAAAATAATCTATAGCGTCTTATAATTTGGAGAATTAAGGGGACAAATAACAATAATAACAAATTTTCCAAATAAGGTATTTACCCCTTTTTTCACTACAAAAGCATTCTATTTGCTAGACCTTTACACTATACTGTAGGTGACAAGAAACCGTTGGTGCTGGGGGGTTGGTTTTCAGGGCAGTAAGTGTTGACCAATTCACATCCATAGTAGGTCTTGGACTGGTTGCACTGATTTATTTTTAAGGTTTGTGGTGTTGATTAGATTTACTGACTGAATTTGTACCTTTATACTAGCTTTAGTGGCTACAGGTTGGAAATCAGCCATATAGCTCACGTACCATCTGCTTATATCTTGTTGATCTCAGTTGGCTAAATCCACAAAGAGCAGTGAATATTGTAGTAGCTGGAGCTCACAAAACAAATTATCAGGTGACTTGCTTCCCCACGCTGCACTGCTAGGGTGCAGGGGTCATGTAGTGCTAAATCTCTTACTCCAATATTTAGACGTTTGTAAAGGAAAACAGTGTATTCGCAGTACAGGACACTCCACCACATGCTCAATGAATCAGGAAGCAGCACATATCCTGCTTAAAGTAAGAAAGCCACAGTTTCAAAACAAGCTTGACGAGGGAGAGGCAGTAAACACTAACATATTGCAGTAACATATAGTGTTTGTTCAATTTCTCCTGATTTGTCAGAGTAACCTGGTTACTTCTGCATATGTAAAGGGTAGATTTGCTAGGTGGCTTTTGTGCTTTTGTTTCTGGTGTAGCTGTAACACATTGTGTCTCAAATGTGTGCGATGTATTTTTCAGATAGATGAACGAGGTCCCGGGTTCCATTTCTCTTATCATAACTGAAAATGACAGGAGGACACAGGCTAGATATTTAATCTGCTGCCCCATTCGGTTTTGCGGGAAGAATTTGCCAACTCTTGAAGGCAGAACCATTAGGAAGGTTATGATGGTGAAAAAAGAAATATTACTGAGACAAAAAGAAAGACAAGAAATAGACTAATGGATGGGGATATGCTTTTGTTGCTGTTTTGTTTAATGCAGCTAAAGTGTGCTTACTGAACACTTTAAAAAGTAATACCTTTTTGCCTGAATATTCAGGTATTAATCCAATCACCAATATATGATGTGATGGAGGGGGAATGTTGTGTGTGTGTGTGTGGGTATGAAATGGTTTTTGGGGGCTTTTTCAGTTTTATCAGAATGGTGGGGATCCCATAGCAAACAGCTGGTCTGCAGATTGCAGCTCCTTGTTGATGAATAAGTTCAGAGGAGAGTGGCCAGATTAAGTGGGGTAGAAAGGATACCATGACCCAAATAACCACAATTGTGACGAGTGCACAGAAAGCACAACACACCTTAGCCTTTGCCGGACCCTTCTTTCATTCACAACATCCACCATGATAATCAAACATATCATAAATCAAAAGTAATTTTAGACAGGTTTCAGTTCAGTGGATGTCAGGGACCTCACCAGTTGGCAGGTCTGAATTTGAATGTGGTAAAATGTTAGCTTGGCAGCATGAATGTGAAGCACTCTCCCTTTTTAAATAAGCATGAATAGTTAGCATCACATAATCTTAAAGGGAGGTTTCCAAAACATCAGACTCCACGACTCCAAGGAATGAAAGCTATTTTCAGAGCAAAGGCAGGCCTGACCTAGTATGGGATGACTGCTTATATTGAAGCGATTGTTGGTATAATTCTCTCTCTCTGGTGCTCAGTGTATATTTTGTGAGGGTTTTTTTTTTATAATCCATAGCATTTCAGTTAATCTTCTTTTCATTTCTCATGATGTTTAAGATCAATAGGTTATCATGTCTTTTTAGACCTCAGAGATAGAAATCATATAAATCCCCCTGCTGAGTCCATGCGGAGCTCTTCCCGGGTCAGCCCTGTGTGGATGTTGAACTGCTATCAGGCATCTGTCAGGGATTGACCGTGTGCAGATTGTGGTTGCTAACTTAAAAACACAGAGCATATGTGTGCAGCTCTATTTTCCTGATAAGTCAGTCACCCAATATCTTTCTTAGAGATTATTTCCTATGATGTTGAAAAGGCTGAGCAATATGTCAAAAGGTATGAGACTATACAGGAGCTTCACGAGTCAGAAATGTAACTGGCAGTAATAACAGAAATAAACACAGCTTTAATGTAACTTCAATATAAAAAAATGCAATATCTTCAGATGTTAAAAGGTTGTACTGGGCAGCCAGAACTGAAAAGGAAAAAAAAACACACTGTATAATAGATAAGAACTATCCTCCATTTTGTAGAATGAAAAATAAACAAACATGCAGCTGACTTGGTTTCTGTGAAATGTAATAAAAGTAAAGCAAGCATAAATACACTATTTAAATGAACTAAACAGATTAGCTGTCATACATTAAAGCGTTTCCATACCAAGGCTTCAAATACTGACATTCTATCAAATACTGCTTGCTTTGCACAAATAAGTCCAAAGGATTCCTTTATCTAGTCAATTGAAGCCTTGATGTGCTAGCTACAGATAAGGGTCTTCTGTCAGTGAGTAACAAAGGCCAAAGGTAGCCAAACATATGAACAGTTTTGGAACAGAAGTTCACAGTATAGAGAATTATACTGCATAGTGTTCACTTCTACCAGTAGGAGAAAACTGAACCTTTTCATTCCCTTAAGAAAAATGTCAAATTTTCTTTTCTCCAAAATGTGACATTTACCCAGTCTTCTAAAAACCATCCTGTCACAAGCCCTCAGCCAGCATTTGTACTGCTTACATTGCAATGATGTGATGATATGAATCACTTCTACAGGAAAAACACTCAGCAAAGCCCCCAAGCATTCTGATTTACAAAGTTGGATTAGAGTCTTAAGCTATCTCCCCAAACTCTTCCCCTCCA